TTTTCCGTTTGATTGAACGATTGCGCAGTTTTTTATTGTACAGTTTTTTTTTTTTTTTTGATAGATTGATTGATTGATTGATTGATTGGTTGGTTGGTTGATTGAGTGATTGATTGGTTGATTGATTGATTGATTGATTGATTGGTTGAAAGATTCGAACAGGGTGTGTCTCTGAATGGAGGAAGTTTGTTTGTTTCTGAGTTTATGTAGTTGGAGTTTGTGTGAATATGACGATTACAGTTAGGACTCGAACAAGGTATGTCTCTGAATGGAGTTTGGGCTGTTTGTGTATCTCGGAGTTGTTCTGAGCAGGCTGTATTCGGGTAGACTCAAACTAGGCTTGTGCGGTTTTTAGAAGTTTGGCTCAGGCCTATTTTTCACACTTGAACCTACACGTTTTTCTGGACCGAGGAACAGACCTCGTACTTCTGAGTGGGATGTGGGACCGGTCCCTTGAACCTGTAACATTAGGCACAGGACCATAGGCCTTCACGACGACTGAACTTTCTTGATATCTAGTAGTATGGTTTCCTCCGGTAACTAGAATAGGCTCTCTAGCCTCTGCGAAGCTGAGTAGCCTAGCATGTTTGCCCCGCTGCGACTATTAATAGGTAGACGTAGGTTTAGTTCAACCTCTCAGGTTTCGCGGTCAAATAGGCTATTTTGACGACAGTAGTATGCTACCGCGGGTGGTACGTGGAGTGAAGGTGGTTTCTTGGGAATGTTGGTTTGGTTTAAGTGGAATCTTGTTCTTGTTCTATTCTCGTCTACTTTGTCACTACGGTGACTGTGTGAGTTGACTTGATGTGTTGACGTACACAGAGTAACGAACATTCACAACTCATTACTCCCTATGTGAACTTACCTGGTGAAGCATACTGGGTTGAAGTGAGCGTGTTTTCACCAGGCTATGGTTACTATTAACTACGTGGCTGTTTTGCTGTTCCCGGAAGATTTCAAGAAGAAGAAGATCGCGGAAGCTTCGGACGAGGTGGAGTGTTGAGGACCATACTGGGTCACGAGCGGAGGACGTGTACCCAAGGCACTCTACGATGTCGAGTTTAGACCGGCGTGATGACAACAGGGAGTCTGGCGGTAGCGACCGCAGACCGTACAGGACGCCGACATGCTATAACTGTCAAGAACCTGGGCACTATGCAAATCAGTGCCCTAATCGAGACAGGAAACACCATGTGAGTCGACCAGCGACCTCGAGCAACTCTAGGAGGACGAGATCTCCACGGAGATATGAATCAGGGAGGTACTACTCACCACCGAGGAAAGATGTTGAGTTGCGCGAGAAGTTGGTCGCACTGTCCCAAGGGTTCGCGACTATGAAGGAGCACATCGACGCTGAAAGGGCGAAGAAGGAGGAGAAAGCCAGAAGAAAAATGGAGAAAGTGCGGGAGAAAGAGGAAGACAGACGCAGGCTGGAAGAAGAGGAAGCTCGAAGGCAGGAGGAAGAAGCACGACAAGATGCGAAGAAACGGAAGAAGCAAGAGAAAGCCAAGAAGGAAGCTATCCTGAGGGCAGAAATGAAGAAGGATGTGACCCTGCACGCGGCGATGATGATGAACGAAATAAAGGATGATTGGATTAACAGTTGGAAGACATCGGTGATGCTGACACTTCTAGCTGGAACGAAGGACGTGAAGGGAAAGAAGAAAGTCGAGTGCGCCTTGAATGAGGGTATGTCGACAGACCACGGTGACGAAGGAAGCGAGACTAGCGTCACGCAGGAGCTAAATGAGAAGACAAGACAACTATGTATCAACGAGAAGCGTAAGAGGGAGGACAACGTGGGGTTTGAGGATAGCCCACCAATGCAGCTACCTCCCAAGAGAACTCCACGGAAGTGCGACATTAGACCTGTGGAGCTAAACGAGAGGATGGCGAGATCGAAGGCTAAGAAAAAATTTGCTCGAACACCTGTCCAAGTAAAAAGAAGGACACCAATCAAGACCCCACTCGCCAAAGTTGTGAAGTCAGCCAAGAAGAAATCGCCGCCAAGTGGCCGTCTCACTCCAGCAAGCAGAGCTTTGACCCGACTGCGTTATCGTGATGCTGTGTTGAGAGAACTGAAAGACTGCAGCGCTGATGAACTCCAACGCATTTGCAGGGAGGAAGGCTTGCACTACGAGGGGAAGGTCGATGCTATCCTTGATATTGCCGAGTATCGTTCGAGACAACAGTTTCCGGAGATCGGTAAGGAGATAGAAGTCATCCCGATCAGCGAGTCTGTCGAGACTGGACCTGAGAACACGCCCGCTGATGACAAGGAGTGAAGTGGGTTCGACTCGGCACGATGGTGGGAAGTCTGCAGATACATCACTAGCCTTCGTTGTAACTCGAATGTCGTCGACCGTAAGTTGGAACATTTGCTCCACCTGGTCATTGTGTTGTTAGCTTTGTCTAACCAAGTAAAGTGGTTTCGCAGGTACGTGAATAGGTGGCTCAACCTATATGAGACACATGGGATAGGATTTTTGAATCTGAGTAACGTAGTATATGTGGCAGTCTCCCCGTATTGTAAGTTGTGCTATGTGGGGAAAACTACGAGGGATAGCACCACTCGTTGGCGAGAACACATATACGCGGTCCGTAAACGTACACAATCGCATTTTCATCGGTGGATTGCATCTTTTGGGGTCGGTAATTACGTGCTTATCCCTGTGGACATTTTCGAAGGAAAGAATTTGGAAAGGTTAGAGGAACTGTATATTAGTAGGTGGTCACCTTTTCTCAATTCTACGGGTGTAAAAAGGGGGTCCAAGAAGACGAGGAAACCCAAGAAGGGGAGAAGGGAGAGAAACCGAGACAAGGGAGTTAAATGTGATAAGCAGTCCAACACCAAGATCAACCCGATTTGTTTTTACCAGGTGTCTAATAATTCATCTTTTTTGGATCTCCACTCGTTTTTGGACAAGATTGAGAGTACCGGGAATCAACGTTGTGTGATACGGACGAATGGCAGGAAGGACTGGACCCCGAAGTGGAATAAGTTGTCGAAGTCATTTGGGGAGGGTAAAATCAAATGTCTTACTCACACTGTGGCTCTTAAGGATTGTAAAAATCTATTCGAAAAGGGGGGAGTCTTTGAAGTACTTTTTGTGGTCAAATGGAAACAAAAGTGTAAGTGCTTGAAAAAAATCTTGGTTGGGATTCTGCGCAATCCAAAGAAATTGGATGACTTACGAAGATGGAATATGGAAGCTTTACTTCGTATCTATCGGGTCATTAAGGATTTTTCCAGGAATTCGACGAGAAAATATTTACGTAGGCTGGTATCGCGATGCTTTCGTGATCGTTTTGGCTTGAGTCTCTCTACAGATCTTACCTTTCGTGTTAAATTTGACGATAGGATTGTCGTCTCTGAAGTCAGGAAAGTAGCTAATGATGCCTTGATGTTGTGTGACCTGCCTTCTTGCTTTATGCTCCGAGCGCGAAGGAAAATTCGCATCGTAGGAACAAAAAATCCTACGGTAGCTGATTTAATGCATAACCATCGTAGTTCTTCAACACGTGGTGTGCTTACCTGTAGTTGTACAGGTTTGGATTTTTCGCGCGTGAATGGGCACGTCTTGTTTCGATTGAGCGAGGTAGCAGACCTGCACCCGCTATTATCGAATGCTAATAATATCCCGCAAGCGAAAGCAGCTGATAGGCTTGGGTTACTTTGGGACGAATTGATTGCCGGCTTTCAGAGTTGGAAGAATTTGGGAGGTCAGGTACCTGATCTCTCGAGTTTGAATCTCTCTCACTGTATATCAACGAACAATGGAGGCACTTCCAACCTTTCATTGGATGACGTTTTAGCAATCCAAAATCGTTTGAAAGACCTGGTCGTGTAAGCAGTAGACCGGAATTCTGGAGAATCGGTGGCTATGTGCCCGACAGTGTACTTTGATGCCATGATGAGCACTTTTGTGTGTAACCCAGGCTACCGAGTGATTGATCATTCGGAAGCGCAGGTTATGAGAGAGGTTCGTGAGGATATCGGTCGTTTTGATCTGGGGAAGGTTGCAAGCTGGGATCCGAAAGGAAAATTTGGCTCAACTTACGTAATCCCTAAACATAAGGACCTAAGTCGTTATCGACCTATTTGTCCTTCGTTTAGCGAACCATTGGTACGTATAGCGCGTATTGTAGCCAAAGGGTTAAACCACTTGCTCTTCATCCTGCCCAAGAAGTGGCACTTTAACCTTCGAGTTGTTTCTGATCTATGCCCTCAGTTGGAAGGAATCAATCGAAGATTGGGGAGGTTAGGTGGTAATCGTGTGGTAACCTCCTACTCCTTTGATATCAAAGAGATGTTTAGTAAGTTACCACACGATGAGATCCTCCGGGCAATTGATTGGATCATTGACCATCACGAAAGAAGCGGCCATGACTTTGTACGAGTGAATACTCGAGGGAAGGGGACCAGTTTTGGAGTAACGACAAGAGCGGATCATTGGAAACGCTTGTATCTAAAAGACATCCGAAATTTTGTTTGCCTGGAGATCGGGCATACCTACTTTTTCGCCACGGGAATCCTCCTCAAACAAGAGTTGGGCGTACCCATGGGAAAAAGTATGAGCCCGCCCATTGCATGTATTATGTATGCGTATTCAGAATATCGTTTGACATGTACACTGGGTCGAAGGAGCCGGTGCATGGGCGCTCTGCGTCTGATCGATGACGTGTTACTAGTCATTTCAAGTAAAGATAAGTCAACCAGATCACTGATCTTTGATTCGTTTGCTGCCTGCTACCCAAGGAATTTGGTCCTGAAACGAACGGACGACAACACGGGCACCTTGGATTTCCTAGGTTGCCAGATCCGTACGTCACAATCATATCCGTTTTTGGGATGCATTCAGTTGTCAAGAATGAGGACAGTATCTGGACAGAAAGCAAACTGAGTATTCAGAATGGACAGTCGTATCATTCATGGGGCAGTAAGAAGCAGAAAAGTGCAGTCATCGGAAACTATTTACACCGAATTGATCGGAATACTTCGATACGATCAGAGATCCTGGGGAAGGTGCTTGGCCTACAGCGGGAATTGGTCAAGAAGGATTATCCAGTGAAATTCGTCAATCGAGTTTTTCGAAGGTTTGCAAGCCAACGTGACAGTTTGTGGCAACAAACAATCGCTTTCGTATGCGACAATGAGTAGTTAGGATTGCATTGTGTGTTTGAGCTCTGTACTCGAATGGATTGGTGATTGGAGAATTTGCATAGCTAGTTTTGATATTTGAACAAGCCCCGCTCTGAGGCAGATTCGAACAGGGTGTGTCTCTGAATGGAGGAAGTTTGTTTGTTTCTAAGTTTATGTAGTTGTAGTTTGTGTGAATATGATGATTACAGTTAGGACTCGAACAAGGTATGTCTCTGAATGGAGTTTGGGTTGTCTATGTATCTCGGAGTTGTTCTGAGCAGGCTGTATTCGGGTAGACTCGAACTAGGCTTGTTTGTTTTTTAGAAGTTTGGCTCAAGCCTATTTTTCACACTTGAACCTACATGTTTTTTCTAGACCGAGGAACACACCTCGTACTTTTGAGTGGGATGTGGGACCGGTCCCTTGAACCTGTAACATTAGGCACAGGACCATAGGTGTTCACGACGACCGAACTTTCTTGATATCTAGTAGTATGGTTTCCTCCGGTAACTAGAATAGGCTATCTAGCCTCTGCGAAGCTTAGTAGCCTAGCATGTTTTGCCCCGCTGCGACTATTAATAGGTAGACGTAGGTTTAGTTCAACCTCTCAAGTTCTGCGGTCAAACAGGCTATTGTGACGACAGTAGTATGCTACCGCGGGTGGTACGTGGAGTAAAGGCGGTTTCTTGGGAATGTTGGTTTGGTTTAAGTGGAATCCTGTTCTTATTCTATTCTCGTCTACTTTGTCACTACGGTGACTGTGTGAGTTGATTTGATGTGTTGACGTACACTGAGTAACGAACATTCACAATACAACTGATTGATTGATTGATTGATTGGTGGGGGATGGGTCGTCCCCCCCCCCCCCCCCCCCCCCCCCCCCCCCCCCCCCCC